GACCTGTGCAAAATAAACCATCAGATATAGGACAGATAATTTAGATTTCATGCATGATTGCAAGATTTAAGATTGTCACTTCAATTTTGAAAATGTTTTATTTAGAGAATGAATAAAACTGGTAATGTTTTATAAGGAAGCTTGAGCTATAAATATGAGGTCACAGGGTCTCAGGAGGTTAAGGGCATGTGATATAGTGTGCTATCAATGCTGCCAAATAATGACCTGAAATAATCATTTAATTTAAATTAATACACTGAGCAAACTCTCATCTTTGGTAAACATATACAGGTGCATCTCAATAAATTAGAATGTCGTGGAAAAGTTCATTTATTTCAGTAATTCAACTCAAATTCTGAAACTTGTGTATTAAATAAATTCAGTGCACACAGACTGAAGTAGTTTAAGTCTTTTGTAAAATGTTTTATTTAGAGAATGAATAAAACTGGTAATGTTTTATAAGGAAGCTTGAGCTATAAATAGTCAGAATAATCTCCTGCCGCTGTAGAAGCAGTGTCTTCTGAGGTTTTACTACACTGCTTCTGAAATGTTGTTCTATGAACATGAAATCTTTTGCTCAGTTTTAATGCCACTAAATATAAACCCATTATTTTATATATTGATATCATATCTAATGTTAATTCACTTCTGCTACTTTGCTTACAGTGTTTGAAGAAAGTCTCCTGAATTCCATTATGTTCCATCCTATTCGAGTAATTGATAAAATGATACCTTACCTTTTTCTGTGTCATTTTATTTATTTATTTATTTATTTATTTTCCCACTGCAGTGTTGCTGGCGGATGATATGATGTGGGTTATCAGAGTCAGCAGTTGTAGTCCTTTGTGCTGGATGTGGGTCAGTCTGTGCTTCATGTGTGCTGCAGTGCAGATTTACTCCTGTCTGATATAGTGTCTATTCAGGCTAATCCCTCTTACATTCCCATCGGTCCCTCCTCCACACAGGGCTTTAGGAGTTCATTCTAGCAACGTCCCAGTGCTGGATGGCATGATGGGACTGAGCGGGAAAATACCACCTTCAACACAGAAGTTGGGCTTTCACTTGATCTACACAACCTTTTGATCAGAAAATAGTTTCGCTATATTTAGAGTCATGTAGAATAAAGAAGCACATTATGATGGATGAACCCAGCCTAAAGGATAAAGGTGATGCTACATAAGTACATATGAAGATGAAATCATTTGAGAAGATAATGTGTGCAGTTGGTAATAAACAACAACCACACACATATTGACTATTTAGAGTGTTCTATGGGTCATTTCAGAAATGTGCCATTTTTTAAAAATGTATTTATTTATAATGTATTTAATACATGATATGTGTCAAATAATATGTATTCAATACATATTTTCATAAAAAACAGTTATGATTGAAATAGGGTTGACATAACTTAGGGAAACAAATACACTGTCATGAATTGCTCTGAGACATGAAGGCTGAGGATCCAAACACAGTGTTTATTCAGAGGGTAATCCACAATTGTGATCCAAACACAGGCTAAAGACATAAACCAGCAAAACAGTCCAAACAATAACAAGAAACACAGACAAAGAGTAGTCCAGAACAAGGGACAGAAAAAACCAAGACACAGGATAACAGGAAATAACGGCTCAGAAATGCCGTACAAAACACATGCAAGACTTCACAGTCAATGAATGAACCAGACTATAGGATGAGCAGACAGGATTAACGAGACACAGGTGAAAACAATGAGTGCTGATGAGTCTGGGCATAGGACTATGGGAAATGAACTCCCAAGACTGCGTGACAGAGGTATGAGATGCTGGTGATCCAGACATACACATCTTTTTTTTTTTTTTTTAAATATTATGAACAGTATAAAAAAAACACAAGAAAATACTATTTTTTTCCCCCATCAAAATGTAAATATTTACCAGTAAACAAAAGTTAGAAGTACAAAGTTGGAGACAAAAAAGGCATCTTCATGGAGAAATAAAATTAAGTTATCAAAGTTATTAGATTATTGTTGATGTAAAAAAAACGCCTCTAGTAATGAATAGCTGACACCAGCCATTACTATTCATTCGGTGTCGAATGTAATTTATTTTTATTAATTGATTCATTACAATTTCTGTTGGCCAAAAGAATGGTTTGGTATTTCTGTACATTTCCTTTAACCCTAAAACACAACACAATGCAATGTGTAATTATACATAAACATACAAAATATACTCAAAACACCTGTGAAAACCCATATTGGGAATTCCATCTTATTAACAAATAAATCGGTCCCTTTTTCATGGGCTTTTCTTAGAGTGCATGTTGCATTTTTACATTTTCGCCAGTTTCATCGATTGTTTTGAGTTTCATACTATGAAATTTTGCTTAAAAGCAATTATATAGACAATGTATGTGACCAAATGTGAACAATAATGAGATGTAAGCACAACAACAATGTTGTGTAGGCTATTAACAATACGATTGTATAATATTTAATTATTTAATAGCGAAGCATGTTTTGCCTGTCAGCTGGTTGTGGGTCATGTGACAGTCAGCTTTTGAAACAGTGACCTAATGGCTTTTGTAAGGCTGGTTTTGTAATGACTCTACAGTGCTAATCAGCTGTGTATTAAGAAAGTTAAAGGTTTAGAGGTTTATTTCTAGGGTGCCTGGAAGCCTCCGTGTCAGTGGTATAGTACAATTCGTGTTTATTTATATTATCGAGGGAAAAAAACATCTCAGGTAGGTATTTTTCTGTTCTGTTTTATTATATTTTTGAAAGTTCATCTTCATCAGTAGAGGGAGCTCTTGCCTTTGTTATGGTCTGGTTTCAGTCCAATAGTAATAACTTTTGCCTTGACTAGCACAGGGTTTTATTTTTCTGTTCACAAATTTCTAGTTGAAACAGGAAGTTGGGGTGAGATGTAAATTTAAAATATGTGTAGTTGTAGTAGTAGTAGAAGAAGAAGTAGTATATTATTATTATTATTACTATTACTATTATTACTATTATAAATATATAAAAATATATTTTATACATTTATATTTTAATTTCATTCATTTATTTATTGTATATATTGTTATAGTAATACATTTATATATTGTTTGAAATAATAGTAATAACTTGTTAATAACTCTAAATAACAGCCCTCAGCTTCATTTCACAGTCGCAGCACAACTGTGTAAGGTTTCAAATGTTTCAGCTCATTGACAGCATGTTGTCTCTGCATTGGGGTAAAATGTCCTCTCAAGCAGCTGATTCTCTGTGTACAGAGCCTTATGTACAAACTGGGATGTTGAGGCCAAGAATGTCTTTCATTCTGCTCATGACCTCCACAACCAGAATACATGAAAGTAATCATCAGTGGAGGATGCACAGTACAGACAGTTGTTATTTTGTAAATTGTAAGTTTGCATGTTGTGATGTGAGTTCTTTGGGTAATCTAATATTAAATCATTTGAATTGGTGGTATTGCAAGACATAGAATAGATATTACTGCAAAATAGTTGCTAGTAAATATGTCATTAGCTCATTGTTGAATTGGGTCAACTGTTATTTTCTGCAAATATTAAGCATGTATATATTTGTGAAAGTATTTTATATTTATAACAAAGAACTGTAAAAGGTATTCTGGATTTTTTTTTTTTTTGACTTTATTACAGTTTTTCACAGTTGCTACGACACTAAACCCCATTCTCTGAACCAAATTCTCAAAGGCCTCAACCCATTTGTCGAATGACATGCTATTCATTTAGAGATTTCGTTGACCTGTTGTGATTACATATTACATACATATTTAATATGTAATCACAACACATATAACAACACATTACATATATTTTATAAGTGCTAAATACAGAGTCAGAATACAGAGGAGTTTTGTGAATGTAGTTTGAAGATTTGGTTTTGTTTAATGTTGTGAGAAAATGGGTGACGTTTTCAAGAAATGTGTCTTAGCAATTGTGAAAAATTGTAAAGCTAATGACATTAGTGTTACTGTTCATGTAAATTTTAAGTGCTAAATACAGAGTCAGAATACAGAGGAGTTTTGTGAATGTAGTTTGAAGATTTGGTTTTGTGTTTAATGTTGTGAGAAAATGGGTGACGTTTTCAAGAAATGTGTCTTAGCAATTGTGAAAAATTGTAAAGCTAATGACATTAGTGTTACTGTTCATGTAAATGTAATATGGCACAGTAACCTCAAGAGGGCAGACTTACTGTATATAATTCCATATCAAACATTATTGGGTTCATGTACTATATAGCTGTAAAATCTGGAATCCTTTATTTATATACATTTGATATACTTATTCATATATATTTTTATTTCTATAAATCTTAAGGATCATGTGGTTCTGGCCTCAGTGAGAGGGAGTTGTTGCAAACATTAAGACCACATGAGAAAGTGTGTGTAATGCTAATCTTTTTTTCCCCTTCTTCTTTTAAACCAAAACTATGCAGCGCAAAGGGAAGAGGGCAAAATGCAAATGGAGTTTCTCCCTGTTCTTTCATCCCAGTCCACAGCTGTGAGAGGTTTCAAGGCATGTTTGTTTTATTTCTGTTGCCTCATCCTTATTCTACCAAGAGCAGCTTATTCTAGCATTTTATATGAAGAGGAAGTATTCACTATAACAGGCTATGTTACACTCGGTATGATCAACACTCTGTATAAACTGAATAATCTAACAATAATTATGCTAAACTGATTATTCTGTGCTACAATACTCTACTATAAATGAAAGAAGGCAGCATTGTGATTTAATATTCAATTTGTTGATTAAAAAAAACTGTATGAAAGGAAAGAAAGATTCCCATTCGCAGTTGGACCCCTGAAGCCATTATTTAAATTAAGGTGAAAATCTTGGCATATACCATACATCAGCTCCATACACATGCTGGTTCCATTTGCCTGTTGCTAGGATACCATTGTGCACCATCAGCATTCCATGTGCAAAGGAACGTGCAGTGCTCGGGATGCAATAGATATGTATATAAAATACTCAGCCCGATGCTTTGCAAAACTTGAAAGGTAATATTTTAATATCACATATTCTCCCATCTCTATGGAAAAAGATAAACATGATACATTTACCAAATATACATTTAGATACACATGAAATAAATGAATTGAATTTGTGTAGAAATGGCAAAGTCCACTTTGCTGCTAACCCACCCATCGATGCAAAAGACACTCTTTCAGAAGATTCTGCTAAGTTTAGAATGAACCATATCCATGCAGAGCTGTTGTAAATTACATTACACTCTAAATACACGTTGAGCAGTCCTTTCTTCATTTAACAACCCATCGTCCCTGGTATTGTCATGACATTACCACACGAGAATACATACTACAGTCTTATAGAGTTATAAGAAACTATCATCTATTTCAATTATAATACATGTTTTTACAACCAAGGTTTTGAGTGCCTGACATGAGCAATAAACAATATTTATAAAGGTCCACAAAGAGATATAAGAATGTGTTAAATGAAGTTATTGAATTGAAATAGCTGTTGATGCAATATGAGAAGTTTATCTGAAAGGCTGGACAATGTGTTGAACAATACAATGATAAATGCATAGCATCTGGAGTGAGAAAAATACTTATCATGTCCCATACCTTTATACCGACACTGATCTCTTAAACTGTGAGCCCAGATTAATTCTAGTTATAAAACAGCCATCACCTCATGATCTCTTCAATAGTTCATTGTAGAAAGAAAAACATATTCCATCTTCCTCTGATTTTCAATATCTTGAAAACTCCCCTGAAAAGTCAAAATGTCCAGAATATGCTCCATACGTCTGTTCTTTTGTTACGTTGGAAAAGCTCAAGTTCAGTTGTATCTTGTGGTGGAGCAAGTCTCAGGTGTTTGTGTAAGTGTTAGTCAAAAATCAGATGTTTATCCTGAATTATGCATGGCTTTTTTTTGTACAGGAAGAGCACCCTGAATCTATTTTTGACCACTTATCATCAATGTGTAGACTTGGGTAGGTCTGGTGATTGTCTCTTTCTGTTCTCAGGGGTCAATATGGAAGGCTAGGAGTTTCTCGGAGTGCTGGTTGTTGAGGGTACGGAGGTCAGGCAGCCGCAGCAGGAGTTTGGGGAAGAGTGAGCTGTCCTCTGGCCTTCGCCGAGTGATGAGAGTGCGAAGAGCGCTGATCAAATCCTCCTGGAGCTGCTCTACGGCCCCCACATCTGAGATACCTGAAAGATCTGATACAGAGCAAAATAATGAGTAAACATTTAGTGGACGTAAACATAACAGCTATGTCTCAAACTCTAGTAAGCAGCCTCGCTGTCTGTCTATACAATCAACTACCTCAGACAACTAGCTCAGTATTAAAAACATACTTCAAATATTCCTAGCATATGGTAATTCTCTCAATTACAGGGAATCCAAGGTACCTGCAGAAACCAGCACCACAGCCATGAAGAGGGCCATCTCATCGGCCTCCAGACCCATGTTCCCCAGCTTCTCACTGAACTCAAACATGGCGTCCAGAAGGCCACCCATGCCTAGCACTCGCAGGGATGCCAATGGGTAGGTCTGACCATTTAGGAATGTTAAAGTACGTTCCTTGGCATCAAACAGCGAGCAGAATCTCACCATTAGAACCTGCAATGAACCAAAGTAAGGGTTAGAGAAATAACATTAAATAAACTGTTCAAGATTTGACAATAACTCATAAGGCATTGCACTGCACATATTTTGCTTTCAGACTTTAATTACGGAGTAATAATAAATAAAAACGTGTAAACATGTAATGATATTGATCTAGAGTCTTGCACAGTCTGTACATATTCATCATAACACTGATGAATAAATATTCATCAATACACAACATTGTATGCGAAACTTAACAAAACTGCTTGGGAAATCCGATTCATGTACAAATTACTTTAAATCAAATCTTTTCAATTACTCAATTGAACCAGCTTACAGAATTGGTCTGAACTGAATCGTTCTTTGCTCAGGGTTGCATAAACAGTGATATGCTCCTATATACCAAAATGATTTATGGCAGAAGGTCGAAGGACCGTGTGATGATACACTTTTTTCATTGATTGATTATTTATTAATTGATTATTTTGAAAGAATTCAGACAGACTTTCCATCACTACATCACTGTCTTCTTGTGATAGAGACCCCATACAGCACGTGTCAAACTCCGGTCCTGTAGGGCCACTGTCCTGCAAATTGTAGCTCCAAACAGCTCCAAAACACCTGCCTGGAAGCTTCTAGTAATCCTGAAGACCTTGCTTAGCTAGTTCAGGTGTGTATATTTAGGATTGGAGCTAAACTCTGCAGGACAGTGGCTCTCCAGGAACTGAATTTGACACCCCTGTCATATAAGGTCATGGAGGAAACATTCTCAATTTGTTTGTTCAGTCTTAAGCATATGCGTCTAGTCTAGGACAGTCTGATTGACGCTTCTCACCTGAAAGGTTCCTGCCTTCAGCAGCATGACCTGATCATGTTGACTCAGGGCCTGAAACCCTGGAATGCTCTTGGCAAATTCAACCACTTCTTTAACAGCTGGAGTGAAGCACTGGGAAAAACTCTCCCAAACCTGTTGACTGGAGTGACTGGCTGGGGAGACGGGACATGCATTGAGAGGACATGCCTAGAGAAATACAGAAAGAAACCATTTTTTCTCATAAATTTGAGTTATAGAAAATAGTAACTTAAGACCTGCAACAAATCAAATGCCATCAAAATAAGAAAAAAAAAAAACCTACCAGAACTTTAGCACCAGGGCTCAGTCTCCAAGGACAAGATGTTTGAGTGGAATAATTGTTATGCTTCAATGGATAGCTTTGAGTAGGTGTAGTTCCCTGGTTGGGACGTGAGGACTGTGGGAAGTTATACTGACTGTTGTCCATAACTTGTGTTTTTGGTTTGTTGTCGTGATTGGTGACCGGGCATCTGGATCGGTGTAGACAGCTTGTTGTGGAATGGATGGAATATTCTTGGGGTGAGATGCTTGGCTGAGAGTGAGACTGGCTGTAGCCGGACTCTTGTATTGGATTATGACGGAAGGAAGAAGGATTGTTGTTACTGTTGTTGTTTTCGTTATTAATCTTTACTAACAACTTCTCCCCATTCACAAAGATATTGCGATAAGCTTGTGAGGCAGCACTGATGGCCTCTTCTGACTGGCCATCTTCAGGGCTGGAAGGAGTCTCAGTGGGTGTAGTACAGTTGATGTCCATGGAAGCTGATTCATTAAGGCTGTTCATGTAACTCTGCATTTCGTCCAGTAGGCGTTGTTTCTCGCGCTTTGGGATGCGTCCAAATCGCACAGCTGGAAGAAATGGGGGTATAAATGTTACTATATAGAATGGTGATATACCATTATCTTACAGCTTTACAATAATTCAATGTGGTATGAGAGGCTGCGCTGTATTGTGAATATAGTAACGGCTAAAAGGAATTGTTAGATGTGTAGTGGAGTAGTTTTATTGACAATAGCAAAACCTTGATTGCCTTACTGATTTATAAAATGGCCATTAAATACAAATTATTCATTAAAAACTTCCTGTAGCCCAAACAGGGGGCAGTTGTGGCCAATTGGTTAGAGAGTCGGACTTGTAACCCGAAGGTGGGTTAATCAAATCAACTAGTTGGGGGAGTGAATGTACAGTGCTCTCTTCCAGCCTCAAAACCTACGACTGAGGTGCCCTTGAGCAAAGCACCTAACCCCCAAACAGACACACAAAAAATGGGCTGCATGTGGACGGTGTGCACGGACATCAGTGCGCAGTTCTGATGACGAAAATTATGTCACATAGACAGGGATGTTTAAAAGGGAAGCATACTTTTGGCCTAAGGTTAACAGTTGTCCGTGATGGATGCTGTGCAATGGAATACAGTACATAGTAGTGAGAGGTTCTTGTTTTAGTTTACTACCTTACATTTACTCATTTGGTAGATGGTTTTACTATATGATGTACTTTAGAACAGCAGGACCGCTGTATTGACAAATCAGCATTCAGTTTTATAAAAGACATGAAATCAGATTACATCCCAGTGACCACCAAGCTTTCATATTAGGCTATGGCTCATATGCAAAGCTTCTGTTCTACCTCCCCCACATTTTTCCCATCCAATCTCCCCCTACTCTACATCTCAGAGCTATTTATAGATCCTACTACTGTATAATACACCTCCCCTTCTCTCTCGCTGTGTCTCTATCCCGTTGGGAAGTGGGTCAGTGGGTCACCCGAAGCAGAGGTGATGTCACTGAGGGAATGAGTGATGGAGTAAATGACAGCAGGTGAAATAGATACTGTCATGAGTTAAAGGCTTAGCAGGTTAAGGGTGTAAAGGGCAGAGAGGAGAAGGCATTAGAATACTTAAATGGTGAAACGTTGTAGGGCAGAGGATCATGATATGATGATAAGGAGCACCAAGTGTTGAGCAATGTGAGGTGCCTTCAGCAAGAAAGGTTAGGTTAAAACTGGTAAGATAAGCACTAATGCAAAACTAGGTCTATAGGTCTGTAATATAAAAATCATTTGAGGGCTTTTTGTGTTTAGAGGTGTCATATAGCACCATCACGTGAAGGCGTGGAGCAGTGTAACAGGAGATGTCAAGGTTTCGGGTGACAAGTGCAATGACATAATATAATGGAGGACGAATATAGCATCGATAATTCAGTAAGCGACATACAGTATTAGCTACAGTTTTTACACACAAGGACACCACAACATTACAGTACCCTGAAAAAGTTAAATCCATGAAAAGTTATTCATATATTCATAATCTTTCAAATTAATTTGAAATCTAGTGTAATTACAGTGTGAGTGGGGAGGGAGGAAAACAAGGTCAAGTACAATCATGTGACATTGAAATATGATGGTGCATATCACTTTACTTTTCCGCTTTTTAGGTCACCTAAATATGTACACTAGCCCCAGAAAATATGATTTATTATCAGCCTAGTTTACAAAGCTCCCCAGAGGCAACACTGTCCTGTATGGGCAAAGTGTGCTAGAGGACAACTCAAAAAGATATGTTAGTATGCTTATAAACTGCATTCAATTGAAATAAAAGGCTCTTAGCTTCTGGGTTACATCTACAAAGAACTTTATTAAATGGATGTTCTGCTGGATACTGCGGCGGAAGAAACCCTGAGGATAACACACGATCAGAGTGAATGTGTGTGTTTCTGTAAGTGTGTGTGTGTGCGTCTAAAACATCAGGCACATGTGAACGGTTTCAGACCGACACTAAACACATCAGTTATGCATTTTGAGGGTATTTTATGAGCAAGCAGTGTGCATTTGAGTGTGTATGTGTGTGTCCTTACCTTGCATCCCTCACATGCATGGACACCATAGTGAAATCCTGATGCAATATCCCCACATACTTTGCAAAGCAACACCATACCTCCTGCTTCTAGTAACACAAATTGGCAACAATACGTTAGCAGTGGTCGATGGTCACCGAATTTGAGACAATATCAAGAATGACTCTGATAATACTAACTGGTAAAGGTACCCGTGAACCCACTTGGTCGCCTGCCGACCATTGGGTGAGAATAGGTGTTTTGCCCTGATGATGTTACAGTCGGGGTAGCGGGGTTGACAATGGTAGCACTGCTTACTTCTGGAAATTGGAAAACCAGTTTGTTGCCCCCTGTAGAACTGACATTGCTTCCAGCTGAATGTTTTCTAAGGGTGCCGAGCTCAGTGAAAGAGACCTCCTCCGGGGAAGAGGGTTGAGAGAGTTGGGAGTTGGGAGACTGGGTCTGGTATCCACTGGATGGGCTTCCTGGGCTGGGGCTGGGGCTGGGGCTGGGGCTGGCGCTTCCTGTTGAGCCTGCATAGAGAATCACTCCTCCACCTGTGTGTGTGAAGGAAAATAATATTACATGAGGGCAAGTTGGTCTTGTTATTGTTTATATCTAGCTCAGTCATGAAACTCCAGATTGTGCAGACTGATAGATCCTTAATGGAATCTGCTAGTTATCAAATCGTTCACTACATGGCACAACCAGATTGGTCTTGTACATCAGCAGCCAATGAGATTGCTTGCTAAACATTTGCATAGTTTGGTTCAGTGTTCACTGTAAACTCACTCCTCAGAAACCCTCCACCTCCCTCAGCTCCACCTGTCTAGATCTGCTATGGGTAAATTTATGTATGCTATTTACACAGCATAGCTACATACTCACAGCAGCATGTCTGCATATGTAATGCCAGTAACAAGTCTTTGTACTAGCGGCAGCAGCAACAACAGCAGCAGCACCATAGCAGATCTAGTGTGCCAATACCAGATATACATTAACATTATCCATAAACACACTAAACTATCCTGAGAGTTGTCATAATATAAATATCTCTATTTACTAATTTATAGGCCTGTGGAGAATTTGCAGAATTGGAATGTTTTAATTTACAATTTTCTTTATATCCCCTGCACCTTACACATTTGTTTATTAAATACTGTGACTAATTTCAACCACCAATAAGAATGTATAGTCGCATCTCAGTTTTACAAATGTTGCATGTTTAAATCCAATCTACAGAATTCCACAAATTTGTCATTTAGTTCAGGCTTTTATGCAAAATGGCTAATAGCCTGTTATTTCTGATGCTTAATATCTTGGTTAAAGATGCAATGTAAAGTTTGAATCATTTAAAGGTCTACTATTAACTGAATGGGAACTTGTAATCTGTTCATAGTGGGTGTGGATGTGGTCTATACACAAACTGATCCCCCCCCCCCAGATCAGTAAGATGTTCAAAAAGCTTCCAGGCCACTAATTTCTATGTAAACTCGGAAAAGTCTCACATTTGAATCCTCTGCTATCTACACTCAGTCTGTCATCTCATCCTTCATCATGAATCACATGTTTCAGACCGCGCCAGTGGACGGCTCAAACGTGAGAAAAGACCCAGGATGAGCCAGACTGACTCACGTGTGCAAAGTGCAACGTTGGAGTATCGGATTTATTTCAAGGAGTCGGTTCAATTCAGTGATTCGATCCGTTTGAGGTGGGTCTCCAAAAAGTGTTAAAATGAATGCATGCTGAATTTCACAAGTGTGTGTTAAATACTCCTTAAGTCGCGTTGTGTCCATCGTGTAGGTACAGCTTCAAAGTTCTTTCTTACAGTGCATGCTACTACACATACTAACCTTCCCGAGCACGTTAAACAGAATGATTAAAAAGAACCGACTCAAAAGAGCAATTTGTTTGCGAATCGTAAACACGAGAACTTCCACACCCCCACCACACGCGCTGCTCGCTCCTCTGGCGGCGCGCCCGGGAATGCACTCCAGTCAAAGCTGCCAGCCACCTGACCGCCGACTCACATGCTCTCCTGACACAGTGAACGCCCTGAAAATACAAGCCTCTTTCCGCAGTCCCGTGTCTAGAACAGCCGCAGTACGAGAGAAAAAAAAAAAGTCATAAACTGCCAGCCTGCTGCTCACGTTTGAAGAGGGCTTAAAACAGTAACCAAGACGTGTTTATAATACTTGAGTCACCGGAAAGACGTGCATGCGTGAACGTGCTCACGTTTACTCGACATTATATATATATATATATATATGAAATATAGATAACTACATAACTCCCAATTTAATTCCACCCGAAATAAACACCGTTTTCACGACCATTGTGGCATTTTATGGGATTCACATACAATTTCCCTGAAGACCATTACACACAAAACCTTTCCTTGGGTGTAATGTGTCTCGCATGCATATGGGTGAAAGTGAGTGAGTTTAAGAATTAATAAATGAACGGGTTATTGAATTATTTTGTCTGAATTTGCCCTTTTGTGGAATCTGCCATGAGGGAAAACAAACCTCCCACTCGAAAGCAATAATGATAACAACTGATAGATGTAGACATGAATACTGTGTTCATTTGATATGCAAGGTAAATTTAAATAGGCTATAATCACTTTGTGAATGGATTTAAACCACAATAGTATAAACATACTTTTCTATGTAGTTGTAAAAAAAAATGTCTACAGTATGTAAAAAAATAATGTTATACAGTTTGGAAGGACATGAGAGTGATTAAAAGATGACATAATCCCTTTAAGTAAATTCCATTTTCACTGATTGGCAGGAGAGCTTTCTCAGTTGGGAGGCTTTGATTTCTTGTTTCAAGGTTTGTTCAGAGAGCTGGATGTCCTCAGATATGTGCTGTTGCTGAAAAGCCAGTCAATATCGCTATATCTTCTTGGAGACAACACACGTGCAGTATAACTTCTGCAAATTTCACAAATTAACAACTATTACTATTATCATTCCCTTTTTAATAATTAATTTGTAACATCATCCCTTAAAGGAATAATAAAGTGTTCATAACGCATCAGAATTAAGGAACACTATCAGATGTTGTACTGGGGCAATGCACATGTGTGTTTAAATACGCGAGTTACACACTTGTCACAGCTTGAGCTTTGTTTGTCAAACAATTTTCACTCAGAAATTGCAAGTAAACATTCCACATAATTACAAGTAACACGCTGAATCCAATAATCTTTCATTTACATCTTAGAAAAATACTTTTATATAGTGCATATGAGCCATTCATGACCTTAAAAGTGACATCTTCTATCACATAAAAGTGTGCTTGCTGTAAACATAGATGAGTTTAACAGAGATCATGCAGGCAGAGGAGAAAGAGCTGAGCTCAGATCTGTGCCTCTTTGACTTTGACCCACTGACCAGCCTCCCTCCCTTCAGAGGCTGGATGACACACAAGATGCCGGAACAAAAACACAAGCAAGGAGGGGGTGTGTGCCTGGGAAATCACGCGTGGCACGTGGAGTTTGAAGTTGATCCTCGTGACAGTGAAAGTGAAAGTCTGTCTGTATGAATGCCACTGTGCCCTGACATCATCGTGCCTGATGACATGGAAAACATGCAGGTGGCAAACTGAGCGCTTTCTTAGAAATCACTGCCACCAGATTCACAAAAAAACATACTGGATAGGACGTTGACAGCACAGCTGTGTTTCCAGAGATCTTGATATTTTAGATTTAAATGTTATAACATACTGATGGTTGAACCTTACAGCAAATTATAGACTGTGATAACAATATAGCCTACAAGAAATGAACAGTGTTGAAATTTAGAGCCTACTGAGTTATTGTGTTAAGTATGTATCATTATTATATTTTATGCCAAAGCTTATTATATTATCTTATATAGATTACCTTTTTATGACCTTATAATAAATAACTTGAGATTAGCCATCTAAAAACATTTTATTGTCTCATAAGGAAAGGCCATGTGATGCTTGTAAATAAAACGGGTTTATTGCCTGCTGTGCCGTATAGGCCTAGCTAAATGTTGTATTACCGACTGAGTTTCCTTTCAGGATAAATGATCGTTATCTTCTCACATGTTCATGAGCAGTTATTGACATGCACGATCGAGCACGTGTTCGAGTGAATTTAAAGGTTATAGATAATGACAATCAGTCACCGGCGCACGAGCGTGACTTGGTTAATGAATCACAGTATGAGCACAAGTAACCTGGTCGAAAAGAAAAACCTTGACTGTAGTAGCCAAGGCTGGGTTTGGATTTTACCCACCCCCCATACTGGAGACTGGTGCTAAATTGCAAACGAAACGGAACAGAATTAGGCTAGATCTTTTCTTTTTTATGATTGCAACTTAGGAACCAGTCGCTGGGCCGGAGGTCACGCCTCGAAACCAAACACGATTAATATATGATGCGTCATGATGTAGGGTCTACTGGGAAGACTGCACTGCACGTGAGTTTGTTTACGTGCAACGCGAGACCGGAGACATTTGGCAAAACATTGGTAGTCTGTTAGGCAGGCTCGCCATATAGTCAAAAAAGTATTTGTTATTAATTGCAGCGTGCGGATGCTAAAAAAGCATCGTTTTTTTTTTTGTGTAAAATTATAAACATGTCATATAATGTTATTTAATTACAAAGCTTGACAGTCAAGTTTGTATTCATTTTACATCCAACCTCAATACCAATATATTCGTGTCACCATTCTCTAAAGTTAAACAAGATATTAAAGTAAATGACAAAGTTATCTAAAATACCTAAACGGGTGAATAAAACAATACTACCTATAGCCGTGCAAATAATTTACCTACATTAATGAATGTTTATAGGCAATATATTGTTTTTAACTCACCTGGACTGCCGTCCATGGTGTCTGTTCCTGATGCTGATGAAGGAAATGCATGTATCTGAGTCGGGTCCATAATTTTCAGCGAGTTTCAAATTCCGTCCACACAGGTGAGAACTTTAAGAAGTCTGTTAGGAAATGTCTCGAGAAAGAAGCCGACACTCTAATGTCAGATGTCCTTCAGGTAAGCAGGGCAATGTGCCGTCCTCACTCTTTGAAAGATGTCCTTAAAGATTGTATCGTGTACATTACAGTAGCGCTTTCCTTCAAAAGGTCGTTCTCCAAGGCAGAGCTGCGTAACTAGTTTGAGACGTGCACAAGCATCACACAAATAAACGCCGAACACGTTTCCAGGTGTCTTAAAAATGTGACTGAGCTTTTCCCCCACTAGTCCCCCCTCCTTTCTTTGCCCTTTAAATAGTTTGTGTTATTGTTTGGCAAGAACTGTGTTCACACGCCCTCTTTCTTTCCTTCCCAGTCACGCTGCTGTAGTAGAGCTGCTGTCCCTTCCTCCTGCCTCCTCCTCCTCTCTGCTCTCAGTGGCAGATGACTGCGCGTGGACTCGTTTGCTATCGGAATGCCTGCTGCATGCGCGAGCTGCATGTGAGCTGTGCCCTACTGACACACATTTTATGCAAATGAGCACCGCTCTGATGAGGGGGAGGAGAGCCGTGGGGGGAAGCACATGTAGAGGAGGAGGAGCGCACCGTGACTGCTGTTTACTTACTTCCCTCCAAAGCTTTATTGCTCGAGATCCTCCTCTCTACAGCACGCACGACTGATAGGCTTGGAGCCATCGAGGGCTTTGCCCGTCTGAACACCACATCAAACAGCCTGAACTCATGGGGCTGTCTGTTCTCAAAGGCATCCTGAGGATCTCACGTTTTCTGACCTGCATCACACTGGTTTGGATGTAGGTCATGTGCCTAAATTAGAGACCCATATTTGATTGAACAACCTGAAAAAAAATTGGTGTATGGAGAATCCTAACTAAACATTGATGGGGTTACAAAAGCATGTTACACCATGTACCTGCCCCCCTGTGAATTTAGTTAACATTCATCTATAGGCCTACATACAGTATACATTTTACTGTATGTGGTCTTTCATAAAAGACCAACTTGTGTGATGACACATACTGTATGTGTCATCTTTGGTGCTATAAATTACCGTTTGGATTAAATATGATATAGTGGAGCCATGAAAACCATTTTTGAAACCCTGTCTGAACATTTACCAGGTTATAGATCATATATACTCTTTATACACAGCACTGTTACACACAGAACAGGTGGTTTTGTCCTGGTAAATCTTTTTTTTTTTTTTTTGTGATTGTCTCTGCGATTGCTCCAGCTGCAAAACCAACAATAATCAACGTGAATTGTACAGCAGACTGCCACATTGAACAATGCTGGCATTGTGAGTTCATGTGTATGAGAACAGTCCTTGCCATTCTCTATAACTGACAACCAGGGGTGGACTTAGTGATCTGGGGGCCTTAAGCAAATTCCAGGTATGGGGCTCCAACACACCAACTATGTGCTCTTTAACATTTGTAAACCTTATTTTGCTGTCTTTCTCTTATAATTTGTGGCTCATTTACACCATCACAACTTGTCTATAGTGTAGCTAAATTCAGTAAATAATTAATCAACCTGATGTTGTTCTAAAGCTGTATTTCCTTTTTTTTTTTATCTCATGCAACTCATCTCGCATTCTAAAGGCATACAGTAGGGTTTACCAAGGGAAAAAAAAAACGTAAATGTAAACTATATAATGTGCGGCAGTTTGCGTCAGCGCACCCAGGAAAAGCACACAAGCCAATAATTTTAAGAAATCAAGATGAATAAAATCATGACATGAAAATAGGAGGCCTATAAACCTCAAAAGTATGTGTAGGCCTATACTTTCTTCACTGAGGTGAATATCTCTGTTGTGAGACAGTAGCTGCATTCATGCCATAATTACCATAATTTCAAGATAACAACAAGATGTTCTGTATCAAAGATATTAACAACTTTTACTCTCTAATTCACTACATTTTCTACAAAGCATCTGTACTCGTTACGCCACAATATTTGTAATGAGTGTTGCAATTACACATTATGTTTTCCATGGCACATACCTTTTCTGCTGCAGTTTATTTCTTCTACAAAAGAAGTGATATCGCCAACTACAGGGCACTGAAAGTACTATATCTTGTGCATTTTGTCCTTACTCATCCAAACTCCTCAACAAGGCTACTTTCCGTGAATGCAAGTTCCTTAGCAAGTAGTTGTGAATCACAGGTGTTTTATATATGAGATGAGGACA